CATCGGGGTTTCAATGTTGGCAATTAAATTCTGAGGAAAGAAGCACTGAGAAGGAAAAAAGCAGTAAAGAGTAAATGATAAATGGAATACATGATAAAATTTTATATGATCTCTGTGAGAATCAACGGGAGAAATGGAAGATATAAAAACAAGAAGAGGAAGACTTCACCGAAGTTGGATCTAGATGTTCAGTACAAGAGCTTGGCAGGTTTTTCTTAACACCCTGCAAGCTAACTACACCACCAAAAAATTCTCTCAGTGTATGTCCACCTGATATGTCAACCCTGCAAACCCATAATGGATATTGTAGAAAAAGATGTAAGAAGGGGGGTGGGGTTTGGCACACACGAATTTCAAAGTAGAATGAGAGATGACTAAGAAACTGAAGGTTAAAAATTACGCATCCATAAATAATCCAGCGTCACTCAGACACTTCACTTTGGTGCTTCCAGGAAAGAAACTTTGGAACTCATCACAATGTAAAATCGATGCTAGACCACCGGCAGAGCAACCAGAAAGAAGGGCCTGAAACACAAAATGTAGTATCAAGCGGGAGAATGGGAAGAAAACAGCATTAATTGAATAGTGAGAAATTACTTGGTCTGCATTGTGCATTCCTCTTGACATTAAGTCTTCAATTGCAGCTAGCCATATACGTTGTCCTCTGAACTGCAAACCGGTAGCCTACACAAAAAATTTCTTAAAAATCACTTCTTGATGCTCATGTGTTTAAACAAAACTGAAGAACAAAATGTCACAGCATGCTGTAAACCTTATCTTCACTGTCCCCAGCAAAGGAGGCCCCATCACAATATCGAATCTTTACTCTATTCCAGTTAAAAAAATCTGATATGGAAATCAAAATTAGAAAAAATGCTGCCAATCAAACTTGAAACAGAAGAAAGAAGAAATCAGTGTTATTAGTAAAATATGCTAAACTATCCAGTAATGAACCTGGATTCTCTTCAGCCTTGTTGCTTAGTATTCCAGTGAATGGAATCTTCTTTTCAAAAAGATTGGACGACCCACGATGTGTCCCTTTTCGGTAAACACAAGTTCTGATGTTGTTACACCACCCTCCACCCTGCCAAAGGTTTCAGAAAATAAGTTTTTTGTGTGAATAAAGCATTACTATGTCTCTTAAAAATATATTTCGCTGAAGAAACCTATGGGCAAACATTGGTTAATATTGAAATATCAAAAAGTTTGAAACAATTTATATACACGAACATTTCCTACATTTAAAACTATACTCCCAAATCATCAATCATTAGGACCTTTTTCAATAGGATTAATCTAAGTATGCCCCCGTGGACTATTCAAGATATCGAGCTTCTACATGAAGTACATAAATTTTATTTCAACAAGTCACTTTCATTCAACTCCTAGGACTAACAAAATTCAACAGCCAAATACCCAATTTCTTTAAGTCCTGCGAGTAAAACTAACAAAGTAATAGAATAACAAAATATTTTCAAAATGCTAAGCTAAGTGTGAACATATTCATTAGGAGACTTGTCAGACAAACCTCCAATTCAATGAGCCAACGGTTTGCTCCTTCCCCGTGCCCAGGATGCAAGTGATAGCCAGGTAATGTTCCGTCCAAACACACTGCAAAAGTTAAGCACGAAGAGAGAGATCAGGCTAAGAGTTATCAAGTTCAAAGCTAATTTTCCCGTTAATCTCAATGATACTCCAGTAATATTTACCATATTAGTTTATTTTTCTGTAAAGCATAAATTTTGCCTCAGCTTATTATGATAGCCCACCAGAAATGATGGCTGGCACTAAATTTAGTTAAGTATCTACGACAGATGTAAAGTAACATAAATCATAAATGAAATACAAATAATCAAGTCATTGGACAGTTGAATACGTGTACATTGAGATACCACCCATAATTTTTTATTTTTATTTTTTGAATTTATTAATTATTACTCCCCAAGAAACTAAACATGGTCATTTTCAACATGGAAATCTAGCCATCAACAAGAAGATAAAGTAACAACAAACCACTAAAATTAAACATAAAAATTCAAGATCTATTCAATGCAGATATAAACATCCCAGAAGCGCAACAATCAGTATAAATCCAAATTACAAAAAAAAAAAAAAAAAAAAAGGGGGAAAAAAAATAAAAATTNGTGAACTGGGTTGACAAGTAGTGAGGTAGGGCCGAAATGCCTACTAAAGTGTGGGATTGAAAGGAAATGATATGGAATGACAATGGGTACACGGTTTGTGGGGATTTGCTTAATATATATTTCTTTTCCTCTTCATTTTTTAATTTGTTTTTCACAGTTGTGTCCCTTAAAAATGGAGATATACAAGACAAATGTTTATTTAACAGCAATTTTTTGCCGAATCCATCTATTAGGGACAAAATACTACATAAGTAATAGGTTAAGGACTCAAATGCCAAAAATAATAGATTGAAGATCGATTTGCTCCTAAGTCAATAGGTTAGAGACTAATGCTACAATTTCCCTTGGCAGATACCAGGAGTGACTGGTGCTACAAGTTTAGAATCTTAAAATAAAAGCGAAGCAAAAGCTAAAATGACATAAAAGAAGCTTCAATCACTCTGCCCACTTTGTGCTATAAAAATAGTATGAAATGTATGGAGTGAGATCTCAACCATGCCTTTTAGTTAGCTCTACAAAATGAAGATAGGCTTGGAGTGAAAAATTTGTTTAGAAACGTACGTCGAATCAGATGTGATACTTACGTCGACTTATCTCTAAATGGGATCTAATCAACTCCTCAATTGAAAGTCATGACATAACTAATTAACTGCGCAACAGTTCAAAATTAAAATTGACACAATTTGAGAAGTGGATTATCTATATATTAATTATATCTATACTTCAAGTATGTGAACTATAATAAATGGTATCAAAACGAGTATGAGGTGGATGCCCTAATAACCTACCTTTTTGCCATGTATTGAAATGTTGCGATCAATGAATTTCGACGTGGTGTAATGTTATTCTATGGGCATGACATGTAGACCAAATTTGTAAATTTCTAATGTAGAGTGTCCACTTCTGCTGGTGAGCGCATTTGCAAATTTGTTATGTGGACCAAATTATGCATTTATTTCGAAAATTTTACATTGCAATTTAAGAAAAAATAAAAATAAAAATAAAAATAAAAATAAAAATAAAAATAAAATAAAATAAATAAAAAAGGCAAAGAAAACAAAAGAACGTGGCGGCATAGGTGAGTGGAATTTCATCACGATCACCGCCTGATTGATTGCTAGTATGGGATACAGCTGTAGAGCTGTATGACTTTTAGATGTTTCTCGTGCCCAAAATAAAGTCAAGTGCATTATTCGACCAAAGGTCCAACGTTGGAATAACATTATATGGTGAAATGATCCGATTTATTAAGCCGTGTTTGATGGAGATAAAGATAAAAATAAAATTTTTAGTAGATTTTGATAAAAAGTTGTTAAAATATTTGACTTATATTAGAATCTCCGTTTGTTTTCTATTTATGTAAAAATGAAAATGAAAAATATAGTTATTACGACTTCCACACAAAAGATGGAAATTCAAATATGGTGGTTTGATGTGATGAATAACGATCATATTTTTTTTATTTTAATGGAGGAAAGAATGCGAAATAGACAGAGGCTTAATTTGTACTAAGCAAGGGCTAAATGTATGATATGAAACTTATTTTATTGAATTTATTGTTTAGCCCTTGTTTGATAGGAATTAAAATTAATATTTTAGTCTTGGTTAAAGTCAATAATTAATTTAAACCACAGAGTTCATGAGATCTATAACTTTTTAATTATATATTTTATCAACTTTTATTAAAATTCTATAAAAATTTAATTTTAATCCCAATTAAACAAGAGCGTCATGTCATATACTTTATATGAATATTATTATTCTATGATTATGTATGGTGACCCGAAGGGAATTGTTTGTCTAGGAAATCTATGATTCTGTCTCGTTATCGAGTCACATTTTGTTTGCTGTGGTCTATTGCTAAGTGGTACACGAATAGAGGTGTAAAGAGACTTGGCAAGGCTCACAATTTTATTTATTTATTATTTTTAATTTTTAATTTTATTAATTTTATTTATTTATTTTTTCACGCATAAGATTAGGCATTCCAATAAAATTATCAACATATAAGCCCTTCGCCCACACCTATGATACCAAAATGTTCATAAACTATACTTATAAGGGTATGGTTTGTCCCTTTGAACTCGCTCAGATCATCTCACCTCCTCTAAATCTAATCCTTCGATATCGAAAGGTGACTGTATCTCAGCATGACATACTAATAACCCATCAACCCCATAGAATCACATCCAACTTCATTGATAGTGGCATTTTAAGACATGGCAAGAAAGTATATATGTCAAGAAATGTACCTAGCTAGTCTATGTTTGACCTTCATTTTTTCAAAAAATCATTTTTTTTTGGAAATTTAATTTCAACTACACATTTTCTCATTTAATAATTTTATGTGTAAATTTAAAATTTTTCCTTCCTTTTTAACCACATATTCTTCGAAAAGTCAATATTCCAAAATACGCTATCTCCGAAAATGTAGTTCAAACAACAGAAAATCTCATTTTCCAACTACCTAAATTGTTTGTCCTTCGGTTGAGGTTTTAATTGCTTCACTTGATCAAGGGATATCTATTTAACACGATCTCTCCCTTCTACCACCGATCTTCGTAGGAAGCTTTCGAGGAGATCATTGATGAGGTTTTTCAACATAAAATTCCTTTTGATAATTTCTTTTGGCTTCAAGATGGGCATCAAAGTAGATCTCCTTCGTCTACTCCAAGTCCTCGTTGACTTGTTCCTCAAGATTGTCTCTAAACACTTGAAAAATGCTCAACTGAGACCCTTGTCTTGGTACCCACTCTTTAGTCTCCTCCTCCTATTCTTCAATGGCCTCTTGTTAGTCTGCATTCGTATATCCATTGGATCCACGACGTTAGTTTTCTCAAATTTGATCAACTCAACTCGACCACAAAGCTTAACTATTCTAACCTAAGGCTCCGACTTCGAGGAAGACATTGCCAATGTCATTAAATTTTTTTTGGGATGAAATGCACAGAAGATGTTAGGAATGTGACTCAAATTAGGAGATTGAAGATGCGTAAGTAAACTTTTACTTGGAAAGGGAATCTAATTGCATCTAATAAAAGGAAACAAAATTTTGTTGAAATTGGGTCTCCTAATTGTCATATATTTTCCTGCCTTTTAGGACTTTTCTAGGGTTGGCCTATAAATATAAGGCTCTTCTATCAATTTATATTAGACAGTTTTGTAAGAAGCAGTTTTGCTAAGTTGTATTTGTTTTTTCCATATTGTTCAGTAATAAGCATCGTTCCCCTGCGATTAAACCTTTTTGTTATTCTTTACTTTAAATCTTGTTTTCATGATGTAATCTTGTTTACTTCAATATTATTATTAAATCTTATTCTTTACAATTCGGTTTGGAATCAACAAGTGGCATCGGGGCTTTCGCGCCGAACAAGTGGTATCAAAGTTTGGTTCCTTTCGAAGATTGGTTGAGATTTTTTGGGATGGCTGGGTTGAAGTATGATATTCTGCAATTAGATCGCAATACAAGGTTCTCGTTGTGACAAGTAAAGATAAGGGTTGTTTTGGCGCAGTTGGATTTGGAAGATGCGTTGCTGGGTTTTGACAGGATGCCAACTGATTGGATAACGAAGGAGAAATGACGAAAGGATCGGAACGCTGTGTCGTTGATTCATTTTCATTTATCCAACAATATTCTGCAGGATGTCTTGAAGGAGAAGACAACGACTGCTTTGTGGTTGAGACTAGAGTAGTTATGTATGACTAAGAATCTGACCAGTAAACTGGCTCTTAAGCAAAAGCTGTATTCCCAATGCATGACGGAAGGAAGATTGTTGGAAGATCACATTGCTGTGTTCAAGGAAATAGTTACAGATTTGAAAATGTTGAAGTTTAAGTACGACGAAGAGGATCTTGCCTTGATCCTATTGTGTTCGCTGCCTAGTTTTATGCGTCGTTTCGGGACACAATCTTCTATAGTCAAGATACTTTGACTAGATGATATCTATGATGCTTTGCAGTCAAAGGAGAAGATGAAACATTTGATTGGAGCTACATCAAGGGATGATGAAGTTTTTGTATCTCAAGGTGATCGATGGAGAGGCAGATCGAGAGTCAACTTTAATAATGTGTACTGTTACTACTGCAAAAGGAAGGGACATATTTGGAAAGATTGTAATATGTTGCAGGCTAGAGGTGATTTAGCTGCAAATCGTGGCGCGCAACCTTTGACTTCAGATGAAACCAATGTAGTTGAAGATTTTTTAGATGGAGGAGATGTGATGTTGATTGTGGTATATGACGTGGAATCTAGGCCTGACGAGAAGTGGATTCTTGATTCAGCATGTTCACACCATATGTGTTTCGATAGGGATTTATTTCAGATATATGAGGTTGCTCAGCAATGTGGAGTTGTAATGAGAAATAACCAGTTTTGTTGTATTGTTGGAATCGATCAAGTCAGATTGCGGTTGTAGGATGGGACGATTAGAACACTTGGCCAGGTTCGACATGTTCCTAATCTGAAGAGGAATCTCATCTCGCTTAGTGCCCTAGATGCAAAAGGGTATAAATTCTTTAGAGGAGGTGGAATCTTGAAGGTCCTAAAGGGAGTCCAGGTTGTACTAGAAGGATGGAGAAGATTCTAGTTATACATTTTGCAAGAGAGTGCAGAACATTTTAGGAGATATTTTGACAAGTTTAGTACCGTGGTGGAAGTTCATTTTGGTACAGTATCTCTAGGGTTAGGCTCTGAGTCGGTTTAGAACACTGCTAGGGAGAGCGTTGGTGATTCCACTTTGCTACCAATTTCAGCGAGTACACTGTGTTCAGTTGTCGGGGTTGGACTCATCGAGCATAAGTACCATGGTATCAGTAATGTCTAGGATGCTTCTAGGAACGTTGAAGGCGATAGTTTTAGCAAAGGCCCTTGTGATCAAGCATCTGGTTTAGTTCTTGCTACAAGGTGTGCTTCGCCTTGTGTGATGAACATTAATTCTTTGGTGGATTTGGGAACCCTGGATTTGTGTTTAAGTGTCGGTTGTGGACGTCGGGCAGAGGACGCGTATTTGGTTTATATAGACTGATTACTGTGTTGAGGAGATTCGGCCAGTTCATTTCGCTGCAGACGGATTTGAAATCTAGGAGTTTTATTCGTTGCACGTGTTGAAGAGTCCAATTAATTTTGGTGGAGACGGATTTGAAAACTAGGAGTTTCGTTCGTTAAACCGAAATTTGAGTCAAGGTGAAGATTGTTAGAAATGTAACTCAAATTAGGAGAATGAAGAGGCGTAATTAGACTTTTACTTGGAAAGAGAATCTAATTGTATCCAACAAAAGGCAACAAAATTTTGTTGAAATTGGGTCTCCTTATTGTAATATATTTTTTTGCCTTTTAGGACTCTTTTAGGGTTGGTCTATAAATACAAAGCTCATCTGTCAATTTTATTAGAGAGTTTTGTAAGAAGCAATTTACAAAGCTCTTCTGTCAAATTTATTAGAGAGTTTTGTAAGAAGCAATTTTGCTAAGTTGTACTTGTTTTCTTTATATTGTTTAGTAATAAACATTGTTCCTCTGCGATTAACTTTTCTTGTTCTTCTTTACTTTAAATCTTGTTTTTGTGGTGTGATCTTGTTTATTTCAATATTATCATTAAATCTCATTCTTTACAATCCCATTTGGGATCAATAAGTGATATCGGACCTTCCGCGGCCAACAGAAGATACGAAACACAAAGAGCCTACAATGACAAAATGGAACAATGAAGAAAATTTCAAGAAAAGAATTATACAAATTAATTGAACGACTATAATGTTTTCTTAAGCATCTTTGCCAGAGATAACTAAAAATTTATCATCAAATTGGCGAGGGTGAAATGAGTTTTGGCGAGGGCAAAATGAGTTGAGATATGCTATCCTATTGAATTGTTCAATTGGTTGTTAAACCAATTAATTATTAACACGCCATCAATTTAGTGAATTAGTGATGAAGTTAATGACGTTAAATTTGAGATGATATGTTAATTATTAATGACATATTAATAATTAACTGGTTGGACAACCAATTAGATAACAAAATTGAACAGCAAACCTCAACTTGGACAAAACGCTCTCATCCTAAGCAAGATTGACCATAGGGATGCATAATTAGTAGATGAAGGCTCCACACTAGCTTACGAGCTTGTTTTAGGTCTATTTTGATCGATGCTCTTTTTCTTGGACAACCGATGACTTATATTTTTTCATCGTCCTTGTTTTTTTATTTGAGAAGATGAGCAAAGAATATATTCTTCATTACTTTTTCGTCTAAACTCTACACCATAAAGTCATCGCAGTCGCTAGGGGATGGATTGTTAAATGCTTGATGGTGCAAAAAAGAAATTATGTCTGAACTCATTCTGCTTAATTATGCAAATTCACGGTATGAAGAGCCTCTATGTTAAATACGGGTGAAAATTGTGAAAACGTGCATTTACATATAGTAATTTTCGAAACAAAATTTATACCCTTGATAAATTTAAACAACACAATATATAAGGTGCATAGTCCAACTAAAACTACAAAAGAAATTGAGTCATTGACCAAGATACGAGGTAGAAGATGCTACTTAGAAGTTTTGGACTTAAATTTATAGACTCCAAAATAGAGACGGTTGGAAAATTGTTGCATGAATTATATTCCGTTAACTTATATGCAAATATGACAAAATTGTGATTAATTGTGTAAAATATTGGATAGAATTTCGACCTACTGAAACCAAGATACGAGCAAGAAAATATGGACAAATTAATACTTATTAAAATTTAGAAAATAGAATGAGATGAAACGACGCGAGTTATGCTATTACAAATCTTTTTAAGATAAATTTTCGCCACCTTCTATGATCAAATGGGTATTTGCCCCCAAAGATACAACGATTTTTTTTTTTTTAAATTAATATAGCACAATATCAATTTTGCTAGACGGACCAAAGTGTTGATGGTATTTTTCACCAACGGGAATAGATACCAACCAAATTGGTTGAAAGGAATTTTGTTTTTGAAATATAATTCAAATATAATTTCTATTTCAGCAAAATAAATATGACAAAATAGTTTGAAGTAGTAAGAGAATTTAGAAATCAGTTTTCTTGAATTGATTTGGTGTAGGAAATATGGTATTAGGGGTCCATTCAGTGCCTTTCGAAATGGCTGCATCTTTTGATTTAAATAAAAATAGACTATTAGATCAATCTTTTCATATTTAGCGGTCTAGATCGTACCATATCAAATAGTTGTGACTTTTTATAATGTACATTTTTGAATAGTCACATTCAATTCGAAACAAAATGACTCTCTAATATGCACTATTTACATGTGAAGAGTCGCTGTTAGTCGTCGCAGCAATTGAAAACCTTTCTAGTTAACACCTATTCATAATTGTCTCGTAAATTTCAATAGTTACAAGTTAAGCCCATGAGCTCCAAATCTAGAGTAAGAAACAATTTTGGTATGCATATGCAAAAGGTGGAAAAAGAAGACGACCTAGATCAAATAACAATCAACAAGGTCAACGTGGCCTTGTTTGCCTAGAATAATTCGTATAAGCTTAACTTATTTCACTTTACTCGTAGTTATTTCGATTTTTCACTGAATTTGAAGAATGCTATTCTCTATCACACTTTATTCATAATCACGCTAGCAAATGCACTTTGAATGTGTTTTTATTATTTTTCTATCTTTTCTTTTCTTTAAAATTTTCGTCCATATCTCCAACAAGAGTACCTTTCTGGGGGCATAAGTATGAGTCCAGCAAGGGCTGGCCTTGGCCTAAGGCCAACTAGGCCATGGCCTCGGACCTCCAATTTTTTGGGGGCTCATAAATATCATTCAGCCCAC